ACCAACTCGTTAACTAACAATTACTATAACAGTACTACTAACTCGTTAGCCGTACTACCAACTCGTTAACTAACAATTACTATAACAGTACTACTAACTCGTTAGCCGTACTACCAACTCGTTAACTAACAATTACTATAACAGTACTACTAACTCGTTAGCCGTACTACCAACTCGTTAACTTACAATTACTATAACAGTACTACTAACTCGTTAGCCGTACTACCAACTCGTTAACCTACAATTACCATAACAGTACTACTAACTCGTTAGCTGTACTACCAACTCGTTAACTAACAATTACTATAACAGTACTACCAACTCGTTAACTATACTACCAACTCGTTAACTAACAATTACCATAACAGCACTACTAACTCGTTAACCTGGACTCACCTGGACAGTCTGTTGTGCGTTGCCGTCCCGCTCCCTGCTCTTGTACTTTTTCACCTGAGGAACCTTCGGGTACTTTGTTTCGACCATGACGTTGCAGACCGTCGTGAGAATGTCCGGGTAGTTCACGTGCGCAAGGACGAGCGCCTCTACGTGCTCCCGCTGCGCGTCCGGAAACAACTGCATCTGCGGAAGCAGGAGAGAGAGAGATGCTAAAGAACTGCAGGACCTGAGGAAGCCTCACTCGTGCGTGCCCGTCACCGACCAGACGCTCATCAACGAGAGAAACTGGCTCAGAAAAAACGGAGGAGGTGTGAAGAGAAAGGAGGTCCGTAAGGGGGAGGAACGACGCACGGTGCGCGGTAGCGAATTTCGCACGTTTTTCGGGGGTTTTCGCGTCGATCCGCGTGGGTCGTCTTCGTCGCGGCAGATGATTTAACTGCTCACAAAATTACGATTTAATAACGAAATTGTCAAATTGCAGTGTTGTTTTAGTACTAAAAAAATGCCGTAACGTAGTCCTTTGGTGCAACTACCGTGCAACAACCTAGTTTTGTGTAGACAAAAACTAAATTAAACTAAACTACATTATTTCATTTTTACTTTATTAAAAATGTTTTTGTACGCCTCTTTTCTCATACCCATCACCTGTTTATGCCTTGCTTAGCACATACGATAAAGTGAACTGTGGCTATAGTTTTTCAATGGTGGCTAAAAAAAATTGGTGGCTCAAGTCTTGGCTCAAACTTTAAAACATCAAGAGGGAGCCCTGCGCTCATCAACGAGAGAAACTGGTTCCGAGAAAAAGGGGAGGTATGAAGAGGAAGGAGGTCCGTAAGGGGGAAGGAGGTCCGTAAGGGGGAAGGAGGTCCGTAAGGGGGAGGAACGAACGACGCACGGTGCGTATGACACGGCACTGCATGACTGCAGCATCGACTACAGCAGCAATGGTTTCGACGCCACTACTAACAGGTGCCAACTGCAGTAACGGCGACAGCAGCAAATGCCTGTGCTATGCCGAGACTCACTGTGACGCCGACTTACCACGCTGTCCACGTTAACCTGCAGTGGATCCCGCGGCGGCGACCGCGCCACCGCGCCACCGCGCCACCGCAACACCGCCGCGACGTCTGGTCCCTCCGCGTCGTTCGCTACTGCCTCTGTGACTTGGTCTTCCACGACGACGGCACATTCTCCTCCTACGTCGCGTTCCTCCTCAGCTGGGGCTGCAATCTCATCGAACTGAAGTCAATCGATTTTGCGCCGTCAGGAAATACCGATCTATTGCTTACACACTAACTAATGTTAATTACTGCTCAGTTAGGCTTACAAATGCGCAATCTGTGACCATTGCTTTTAGGCTGTAGACAGCTGGGTTAAGAGAGCTATGTGCAAGTCTTTACTTCGGGAAAATCCACATTCTCTTATCTAGAGCTGAAATACTGATATACTGAAATACTGAAATACTGATCTATCGCGCTCACATTAACATGTTCAGTTGGGCTTACAAACCGCTAACCCGTGACCATTGCTTTTTTGGCTGGAGACAGTTGGGTGTAAAGAGCTACGTGCAAATCCTTATCTTTAAACAAGAGCCGCAGAGCGTCTGGGCTCATCTGAGGTCTGTTGCTACGGTTATAAACGTAACATTTCAGTCGTGCGTAGTGACACCTTTGTTAGGCGCAGATACGCACTTGCGTACACATCATTTCAGAAAACGTTTTTTTTTATTGCAGAAAGAGAGAGAGG